TTTGGTTTTTCGAGAGACTCACCTGGAACACATCTGAATCTGCCCTTTGTGATGTGTCCAGGCAACTGATTTCTAGATGATTTTACGAGTTACATGCTAACTAGATCGATCAGTAAATTTCTCATCTGTGCACTGATTTACACTCCGCTCCCCGAAAAATACATCCAGGTTGAAATGGTTTGGAAGCAACTCGATATTCGTAGGGACCATTTAAAGTATATACCTTATTTGCCAGTGAACGCCGGAACCTGAATGAAGTTATTTACAGGAAAGTTCGTGGCAATTACGCTTTGTTTGTTCTATCGTCTCTGACATATTCCCCTAAACAACTACGTTCGGAAATGACAGGTTCTTGCTTGATATAAGACTGTCAACTTCAGTCAAGCCTGGCTGAACTTTTCTTCAGCTGGTAGACTTCACACCGAGCATTCCTAAACTCTTAAGCTGAACCAAAAGGCGGGACTTTTGTCATGTTGCTTTCTGGATTCATACATTAAGAGGTCTCACAATATTGTGCTTCCAGGCCTTAGCTGCTATAGCATATTGTCTTGTTCTCAACTAAATGCGTATGCAGACATGCCAGTATGAGAAATTCTAGTCAATTAGGAGACAGCCTTTAGTGTACTTTCCGGATGAATCATACTGGGTCGCGTATCGGATAGTCCGTCGTTCAGCATCCACCACAGGTAGCCCAAAGCTAAACCAGACTGATGTAAGTTTGCGGCTATCCGCACAGTAATAGCCACTTTTATGTTTGTTTAAAGTGATTATATTTTGTCATCTTCGCTTGGTATCTTTCCGTCAAAGGTCATGATTTCTTCAGTACATCCAACATCTGAGTGATTTCATTTTTTTCAGTTGAGTTCAACGAACAGGACTCAGGTTCTCACCGACTGACGAAAATCTGGTGGTTGTCTCACGAAAGCGCAGCCGGCTCTTCGTTGGGTTCTTCGAGTTTCCTAACAATTAGCACACAGTTCAACGAGAACTCCATGAATGATGAGCGTCATCCCACCATAAAGGGGTTCAAAGGACACCAGATGAAATCGTGATCCCAGTAAGTACCTAGCAAGAGTCGGCAAACGAAAGGTAGGATGGTCACTGACGGCCATGAAGATAAGCAGCATTATGGGTCCATCTTGGAGTTTGAAGTCTTAGGGTAGCAAAGTTGGATAAACGCCTGACTGGATGAGTTGAGCAAATGAGATCGATTTAGTATATATTCGTCTTTCTGAGGGTTCCAATCTCTACAACAACCCCGCAGTCATGCAGCTTGCAATTGACTGGACCAAGGCCACAGGTATGCCCTCGAACAAAACCCGTGTTACATGTTTTTACAAGCTTCTCCGTGATCACATCCCGCTAATTCTGCAACCATGTTTTAGTAACAGCAGGAGTGTAAAGCTGATCCACCATTCTCAGCCAGAAAATCACCGTAAAATACAGCAGAGGCATGCTTCTCCCTAAATTTTTGACTCTGTATACAACGTATAATTGGGTACAAAAAGCCTGAATCCGTGGAACGGAACTGCTATAAAAAACAAAGACAAAAACATCCTACTTTTCAGAGGGGCCTGAAATGTTAGGGGTGCGGTACCGATACCGGGAGTGACACTGATCTTACAGTTTTTGGCTATTCCCAGATCGAATGACTGAGCACGGCTTACTCTTTCCCAGATCGAAATTCATCTATCCAAATCTTTCCCACGATAAACGCATTGTTCGGCTTCCTTCAGTTAACCTCTCGCAGAAAAATTACAAAAGCATTATGTTCTAGATAACGAGGTACTTTCCTTTGGAAACAGAATGTGACCGCGGAGACAAAGGTTGTGAACTCTCCTGCAGCTTGAGGCAAAATCAAGGACTATTAAATTTTGATGACAATAATGTTTGAACCAGCTGTTTACTGTTTATTAATTCAGATATTCCACCAGAAATAACTGCGTATTCTGTTCAGCCATCTTTATAGAACTAACCTGCAGTTAAATCCCATCTGTTCAGTTGGCGTGCACTTTCGTTAAAACATGCTCCGTTTTCCGAGTGGTTCGGTTGAAATGAATTTGCACAATATCGTCCCTTACTGCAACGATGAGGTTAATCTGTGCACCATCTGTCACTTACGAACAAACTGAACAGTAACATTTACAAAATAAGTTGCAGTAAAATTCGTCTTGCGACGAACAGTATTCAAACAGGAACCGAGACATTTCGTCATAAACTGAACTAAACTGTATATGGCGATTTCAGAACTCAATTCCCCCCTGAGATTCTTGTAAATAAGGAGCAGTATAGGGATTTTATTCAAAGGGAGTGGTCCTGCTTTAAAGGGGCTATTTCATAATGGGAAGCAAACAAGAAAAAATTGATGTTTGGGGAGGAACTCAGTTTTGATTTATGTGGTGCGCTTTTCACTTCGGACACCTTGCTGTCAACTCTGTACTTTGGACAAAAGAGGTAAGACCCACTCACAAAACACAGCAACCAAGTTGCTCATCTACCTCCAAAGTTTCTCCAACAACATATAAGTAGCCCAGAGGAAGAATGAAGTTTACCTGATAAGTGAAACTTTTATCTGAGAAGTTGGCATCCGAGGAGCAGTCGATCAACACATGTCTTCAGGCTGACATAATCTCCAGTGTGGATTGATAGCTTCAATCAGTCGGCCACTTGCGTTTTGGCCAAACTGCGAGTTAGTTTATATGGTTTTCTTATAGGATACGTAGGACTATCACCACAAGGACTAATTTTTCCAAGATGTGAGGTCTCGCATCGGTCGTAGTGTTCGATAAGCTCAAATGGAGTCGAAGGCTGCTGGCGGTGTAATTCCGTTTACCGTTTAATGTAGTCTTTCAGCTCCGGTAGTATTCCACAGTAAAGAAACGGGAACGCTTAGATTGCGTATTTTACAGTAGAATGAGATGTGAAGTTCTTTTTGAGAGAACATGTAACAGCCGAATACAAGGCATCTTAGTAAGGATCCAAAGGTGATACCATGGCACCAGCCACTGGTGTCAAGCAATGCTGACAGCAGACTGCCTTCTAAGACAATAGACTCTCTTGTAGAGCGGGAAAAACTGCGTTTAATATGAATGTTGCGGATTTGAATACCCAGAGAGAGGCTTGAGGCGCACAAAGGTGGAAGGTTCCACCACTAATGGAATGAGTGTAAATTGCTTCTCGACTTTTCACCATAGACTGGCTTTATGTCGTAACAAAGCTTCAAATCGTGTCACTACCCGCAAATTAGATCCCAAGAATAATCAACACTCACGCCTCTGTTGATATATAGAAGACTGATATTGAGCTGGTGGGATGTTCTTGTCAAATTTTGATAAAACTTTGGTGGAGTTCTCTTATACCTTGCTGTTGAATACAATCCAATGAAGCCGAGCGCGCCAGACCCAAGCGATTTGACCACCAAGCTGACACGCATGTGGGCACAGAAGCATTACACAAATTGAGAGGGAAACCAACAGATCGATTTATGAGCGAACTCATGGCGTGTATGTTGTGAAACTGTGCTGACAGTTACAAACGGTGGGCGTAGTTTCATTTCGAAAGTGATGTGTGGTTCTTCTCAGCGAATGCCCATCCACACTTCAAACTCTGCAGGTTAGAAGTTATACATTTGAAACTGTCAAGTGTACATTTGGCCACCATTTCTCTTTTGCTGTTGTATATAATGACGTTGTTGTATAACGCCCCCAAATTCAGGAAAATTCCTTTTTTTGTTAGTTTGTACAAAGAATTCCTTCTGTGTAGCATACGTCTCCACCTGTCATACCACTATTAACGGCTTTTCTAGAAGAATACCCAATCGCCATTATTCCAACTGATAATAATTTATTCAGGAAGTGTACGAAAAGACCTGGGTGATGTAGCAGAGATGCGGTTTGACGGTGAATATTTCAGACGCTTCTCTACTGTTTAGGCCCATCAGAAGAGTGACGCAGAAGAGGGGACACGAATAAAACCAGTACTGTCATAGAAGCAGTGTCAAGATGCAGCTACAAGTGAGAACTATGTTTAAATTACCGAAGAAGGGGATAAGGTTTCAACGGTACTTAAATTATGGAAGCCTTAGACCTTTACAAAAGTGCATTACAATGCAAGTTCACACAAGTGCTTCACGATCAGGTACCTGAGTTGAGCCATATTAGATGTAATATTAGTATAAAGCTGAGGTTTTCTGTTGGTCCAGATATTATTGAATGATAGTGCCCCGAAACGTACGGCTGTTTTCAGTGTGATGGTGCATCATTTTCACTGTTTCAGACTGTCTTCTGAAGAGGACGTATGCTAAATACTGAGAAGGTAAACTAGAAAGCACCGAATAACCAAGCTATTTGGCGAGAGTGAAAAATGTGTGCTCTGTTGTGCCGTGCACAACGATCTAGATAAGAGCGCATGCTGAAAGCGTTCCGCGCTTTTTACTTGTTTGTTCTCCGTCCAACAAAGTAAGTGGCCACAGAGAGCTCCGGTTGTTCTCTTATCATTCGTTTTCAATCGGTGGGAATATACCGCTTTTGTCCGAGAGATGTAATTGTCAAAGCTTGATTTCTTTGCTACTTGATACCAACTGGTTCCTGCCTTCGATGTACAGAATGAAGATTAAGGCTCATAGTATGAGCACCCGAAGGACAAAGCGGTGTTCCGAACAGTGCGGTTTTGGTCGCTCCCTAGGGAAGTACTCTTCCAGGATTACATATTGAAGGTGACAGCTACACACAAGCGAATACATGTGTACACTCTGGGCACAGTTAACCGTTATGTATTCTTACGAATGGGGAAATGCTTCATCGTCCGTCAGCATTTAGCTACATGCTAGATGATCGAACAAGGGCAATTTTTCACTGGTCCCCTGAAAAAGAAGAGGCATCTGCGTTAAGTGAGCTTTGGCAAGGGAGGATTTGGGATGTTCAAGATAAAAACCTCACGACTAACTTCAGGTTGCCATTTCCAATTAACCGATAATATCAGATGAAAAACACTGTCTGAGTGGAACACAATTTTTTCACATCACTCGGGGGGTAGAAATTCACAGCCATTGATGGGGTGGAGGGGGAGTGCAACATCACTTCAGAAAAAGTATTCAAACTGTAGGAGAAAGTTTATGCGAAAACAGATCGCCTCTGGAACATATCACAATAGAAGAATAAGAGAAGTTCAACCAAGTTAAGAGAAAACTTTAAGAAAATCCTCATCCTTCCTCAACTGTTTAGTCTGTAGTTCGATTTCCGGTTCGGCCCTTCCATAAAACGGAGGAATACCACGATCAGCATAGCCGAATTTGCGAAGCATGTCGCTGTCTAGATGAACTCGCTGAATGAATGTCCTTGGGAGTTTTGAGGAGTTGGATGCCCAGGAAGACAGCGCTTCGGTGTGAATAGGATGGACTACTTGTGTGCTGCTGGGCTCCATACTGAATTGAAAGAAATCACAACAGATAGCAGGAGATAAATTAGTTTGCGCACCGAAGCTATCAACTCCAAAGTCTCGTTCGAATTGAAAAGATCAGAAATGCAACCTAAAGACAAGGTAATTCGGTTTCCTTAAAAGCGGAAAGCTGCACTGAAACCCCAGTGAGTCAGCATCTAGTGAGGTTCCCGCGGTTGGGTCCTTGTTGACCCAATGTTGTCAAAGCTATGGTATCTGGTTGAATGTTGTGATATAGAAAGTCCAGATGAGAAGGACCGACTATTCCTCTAATTTGCCACAATACAGGGCATCGACAAACTATCAGGGGGTAGGATGTGTGGATAGTAGAACGGAGGAATGAAGTGCCGAGCAGCAGTGTAGAACAAACTGTCACGTGACGACCACAAAACGGATATTAAGAACAGCGCGGCAACCGGATCGGTGCCAGACTTGTAAAGGGGGAAGGTCGACCGTTCTTTCAAATCTAAAAATCCACAGCTTAACAGACACCAGTTGATATGAGCTGAGTAACTTGAGAAGCCATGTAGAATACCGATTTAGGCCGACATTATCCTTGTTTGTATGCTTGGGGAAAAAACAAGAACAAATACCGTTGAAGGCGGGTATCAAGCACAGTAATTTCTATCAATAGTGGATAATTCCGCCGTCATATATCTTCGCTCCTCTGTGGCGTCTGGTCACACAAGGCGTCTTACTTTGCTCCCCGTATACTGATATCCACCGATGAAGCGGCACTTTTTGAGTAGGTTACTTAATTACAGCAATTTCACTACCTTGATACAACCTGTAGAAGCTGTGGAAATTAGTTATAAAGACGATGTCGTAAAGTAAATTTTGCACTATTCTTTCAGGAGTGACTCATCTAAATTTATTTGCCGATCAAAACAAGCTGGCTGTTGCAATTTTTTCCGAACAAACTTGACTTATCAGGTAGTCAGTGAGTTAAATAGGCCTAATTTTCGAAAACCCTCGGTATTTTTTCTCCTAAAGAAGCCGGCCTTCCAGGCTAGCCACTTCAAGCTGAACTTCAACGTTAGAACTTCACAGAGGAGATCAATCTTGAGATATCATTTTTGACCCCTAGAGAGCCAACAAGGTATCAGCCAACTTTTCCTGAAGTAATCATCAATGATGCTGAACGTTTCTTATCACATTAGCAAAAGTAATTTCACAGGACAACTTCTTACTTCAACCTTTTATTTCGCTTGGTGATTTTTTTGTTTTTCAATATATTGCCACCCTCCCTGATCAATGTAAGCACACTCATCAAGGTCACCGAATAGAAAACATCAAATCCTTCTAGCTTGTGGGCGATTCAGAATTCTTTTCTCGCTAATACTTGCGAAGCAAGCGTCTTGATCAGTGTAGAGGTAGAATCCAGTCGACGAATAAGGGTGGGAAATTTCCCATGTGAAGTGTGCGGTGAAGTACGTTGATCCAAAAGGAGTCATTTGCACATTAGATGCAGGTTCTGGGTTACCCCAGCCGTATCCGCATTGTGGGTGGCATGCTCGACAAATGACTTAGTCGCACCAGTCGGTGTGATACCACGTTCAATTACAGTACCCTCAGAGATGTCAATTGTAACCAAACAACGGAGTAAGTTTCTTCGAGAGCAAATTCATCCTACATTGATTCTTGAAAGCGAAATTCTCACAACAGATAGCAGGAGATAAATTAGTTTGCGCACCGAAGCTATCAACTCCAAAGTCTCGTTCGAATTGAAAAGATCAGAAATGCAACCTAAAGACAAGGTAATTCGGTTTCCTTAAAAGCGGAAAGCTGCACTGAAACCCCAGTGAGTCAGCATCTAGTGAGGTTCCCGCGGTTGGGTCCTTGTTGACCCAATGTTGTCAAAGCTATGGTATCTGGTTGAATGTTGTGATATAGAAAGTCCAGATGAGAAGGACCGACTATTCCTCTAATTTGCCACAATACAGGGCATCGACAAACTATCAGGGGGTAGGATGTGTGGATAGTAGAACGGAGGAATGAAGTGCCGAGCAGCAGTGTAGAACAAACTGTCACGTGACGACCACAAAACGGATATTAAGAGCAGCGCGGCAACCGGATCGGTGCCAGACTTGTAAAGGGGGAAGGTCGACCGTTCTTTCAAATCTAAAAATCCACAGCTTAACAGACACCAGTTGATATGAGCTGAGTAACTTGAGAAGCCATGTAGAATACCGATTTAGGCCGACATTATCCTTGTTTGTATGCTTGGGGAAAAAACAAGAACAAATACCGTTGAAGGCGGGTATCAAGCACAGTAATTTCTATCAATAGTGGATAATTCCGCCGTCATATATCTTCGCTCCTCTGTGGCGTCTGGTCACACAAGGCGTCTTACTTTGCTCCCCGTATACTGATATCCACCGATGAAGCGGCACTTTTTGAGTAGGTTACTTAATTACAGCAATTTCACTACCTTGATACAACCTGTAGAAGCTGTGGAAATTAGTTATAAAGACGATGTCGTAAAGTAAATTTTGCACTATTCTTTCAGGAGTGACTCATCTAAATTTATTTGCCGATCAAAACAAGCTGGCTGTTGCAATTTTTTCCGAACAAACTTGACTTATCAGGTAGTCAGTGAGTTAAATAGGCCTAATTTTCGAAAACCCTCGGTATTTTTTCTCCTAAAGAAGCCGGCCTTCCAGGCTAGCCACTTCAAGCTGAACTTCAACGTTAGAACTTCACAGAGGAGATCAATCTTGAGATATCATTTTTGACCCCTAGAGAGCCAACAAGGTATCAGCCAACTTTTCCTGAAGTAATCATCAATGATGCTGAACGTTTCTTATCACATTAGCAAAAGTAATTTCACAGGACAACTTCTTACTTCAACCTTTTATTTCGCTTGGTGATTTTTTTGTTTTTCAATATATTGCCACCCTCCCTGATCAATGTAAGCACACTCATCAAGGTCACCGAATAGAAAACATCAAATCCTTCTAGCTTGTGGGCGATTCAGAATTCTTTTCTCGCTAATACTTGCGAAGCAAGCGTCTTGATCAGTGTAGAGGTAGAATCCAGTCGACGAATAAGGGTGGGAAATTTCCCATGTGAAGTGTGCGGTGAAGTACGTTGATCCAAAAGGAGTCATTTGCACATTAGATGCAGGTTCTGGGTTACACCAGCCGTATCCGGATTGTGGGTGGCATGCTCGACAAATGACTTAGTCGCACCAGTCGGTGTGATACCACGTTCAATTACAGTACCCTCAGAGATGTCAATTGTAACCAAACAACGGAGTAAGTTTCTTCGAGAGCAAATTCATCCTACATTGATTCTTGAAAGCGAAATTCCGTTGCACGCACTTCGGTGAGGTAATCGATTGCAAAGTCTCTACACATGAAATACAAGGTTTTGGAGTTTTAAATTGAAAAAAAAGCTTGATGAAATGTGGTGTAATACCTTTAATCCCTACTTTTAGATTAGCATCGCTGACTTTTACCGAGGATTTAAACACCAAATAAGCGACAATAAGTCAAGTGTTTTTTTTAGATCAGCCATCAATGTTTTTTCCAGTCAGCCCCATTTCAGTGACCTGTGCTAGAATGCGTGTGAGAGTTGTACTTACGTCCACCGACCTAGCGCGTGGGTTGCACTGGCATGTACTACGACTTGAGTCTCGCTGTTTGTTTGAACTCTAAGGTCATCCTTTCAGGGCAAGTGATACGGAACAGGCGGAAACCGACATCCAATGAATTCGCGTGCGTGAATGAAAGCCAGATTGCAGTCGATTAGGTGATGTGAAATTTTATGGGAGCTTGATGGTCGCGGTTAATCTAATTTCGACTTTAATCAAATTTAATTTGAACATGGACATCACTCTCCTATCCGACTCGTCCACCGTCCTACCATCGGTTGTTTCGCTAACGCCCACACAAACAAAACTCGAACCGACCAGTAAGACGTCACCATTCCTGACTGAACAGCATTCACTCCACTGTGCGTTCCGTTTTATTACGAAACTCAAGCCGTGGTACCCATCATGTACTGTATGATGATAGTCAAGCCCATTAAAGATGTTTGAACCTCTTTCCGCTCCGATCATCTGACATCCAAACATAATCACGCATGGTGAGTCACTAGCTTCAAGGCTTCAAGCTCACCGGAGAAAGTCATTGATGAGCTTGTTCATTGTGACACTATTTACCCCTTGTTAGTTGGACCCTTCTTCGCGCGATTAGTTGTGCCTATTTTGAGACAGCGAAATTTAGAAAGTCATGGTGTGTCCCTGATCGACTAAAGCAATCGGGCAATTGAGTTGAGAGTACCAGTCCAGACCTTCAAGCCTCATTTAAGCATCCCGGGGGTCCCAGCGATGCTGGGAAATTGTCACACAGGACTTTTCAGCCAGAGGCACGATTGCTTCAGTGAACTATGAAATTTCGGTGAGCTGCAAAAACGTGAACGCAGATTAGGATGGTTTTTGGTTTGAACACATACGCAACAAAATGCAGCATTGTGGCGTACGAAGTTTTCCTCCAACTGTAAAGGTTTAGTACCTGAGAGCATTGTGCGGATAATGGACACCCTTTGAGACAAAGAAAGCTTCTTTGAAACTTCTCCCATGACCTAAACGCATTCATTTAAAAATCACTTTGGTTGAGCGGGAGCATCACGTAAACGACAGATTCAAGTGGATTCAGTGGAGTTTCTTGTTAAAACGCATTTAGTGTGCACTTCGTGAATGTATTCGTGTACTGTGGCATTTCCTATATGCTTCAGGAATTGAGTTGATAATATCGGCCGCATATTTTACGTTCTCAATCAACAATTAACCCACAAGCGGTTGCTCGGTGCTGCGTGAACCGGAATTCACAAGAAGTCTGTGACGCTATGGTGGTGGTGTTTGGTCAAATAAATTTCACTTGCATTTCGAGAAATACACTCATTTGCAATTCGATTTGGTTTTCACGAGAGACTCAACTGAATCTCTCGTTTATGATATTGTACAACTGAATGTACTGAACACAGACCGCCTCATGATTCAGTTGGCACGATATTTGAGAAATCGCAGTATATTTTCATCTATTTTTCACAAACCTTGTGAGTAGTTTCCTTTATGAAAACATTTTCTTGCAATTCACTTTGGCGCCAACAGCAGACTCAACCGAATCACTCGTGTGTGACATTTATGAACCGAACGTGCTGCACAGGTAAAATGCGAAGCTTTGGGATTACGCGTGGTTATTAGCTGCAGGAAGAGCCAAACCGCCGATGAGTCGTCCAAGTGTACTCAGCTAATCTGCGCATAGTATGTTATATAAAGCGAAGTTATTTGTTCCAAACAGCACCGTGAATATCAACTTCTCACAAAAACAAAATTCCAGATGACTTTATGGCAGCACTCTTGCGTTCGATTAGGTATGTCAGCAGTAAGACCTCGAAGAGCGAAACTAATTCCCGGATCTTTCATGTTACCGAACAGACGTTTCCTACGGAATATCAGGTTTAGCTTTGGGTTAATCTCGCTTCGTGATGAAGCTTTGCGACATTCTAGTAAGATATTTCAATGAAACCCTTAGGATTACTCAGAATAAATTTCGTTGTTTGCACTGACATGAGATGCCTTCGAATCGTCAGACAGATACAGCTTCCAGTACACAAGCGGCAGTACCACATCTCCCACATGGGTCGCTGTATCATTCTCACCTTTGGCTCCCCCAAGTGGTCTCAAATCCTCACATCTGGCAACCACTTAATCTGACGCAAGTAAGCGGCTTTCACATGTATCCTAAAGATCAGAAAGCCCATGATCTACATTCTAGTGTAAGATGGCTCGTCAACTGCGTGCCAACTTTGATTGCATATCACAAGGACAATATTTAAACTTATCAACGACGACTGACACAAGCCACAAGAGAGGACACGTCAGTAATTCACATGCAAATACCATAAAATGTTACGTGAAAGGCGGTAACTTACGTGTTGACCAGCGTCTCATTTATCATTGCAGTTTCGTGGTGAAGCACAATAGGATCCCAAGGAACGTCGAGGAAGCCTGCAACGTCATACAATTTCTTATTGGTACAGGTCGAATGACAAGCTATTTAGCGAAGTCTTTGAAAAAAACGTCAAATAAATGCCTAGATGGAGATGGATCTTGGAGAAGCCAAGTGTTTGTACCCATGAACATCTTGCTACGCAAATAACGAATGCAGCAGTCAATTCCACATTGTCATTTACGAGAGAGCGCAAGTGGATTTCATCTGCAGCTGGATAGGTGAAAAGCAGTTTTCGGATGACCAATTTATCCAGCTTCAGAGAGGCCAAATTTTCGTCCAAGGTCACAATATGTCGGTTTTGTGCGTGTGAATTCCTGTGTGTGATAAACCGTTCCTCTAAGGCTTAAAACAAAAATTGCCAGAAGACGGCCGGTCACACTTAAACGACTGCGCTCAGCATGGACCACGTAGGTCTAGAGGATCTCTCCTGCGCAAGTTATCATTAGGGTATTAAGACTCCCACAGCTAAAATCAAATGAAGCTTTAATATAAATTAGAAAACGTTAAACAATAGGCGGATTTTCCCACATTTTCAGAGTAAACGAGAGATCATTTTCGCGGATTGTGACGGAGTGAATTAAATACACCGTGCTAAATACAAGAAACTAGTAAGTATCGTTGCAGAGGGGTTTGGTAAACAAGCGGTGGATTTATTGCTGGGCAACGTTTCGCTATTGACACAAAAGCTTCGTCAGGCCAAGTGAGTAAGCAAGTAGGTTGATTGGGTTTTAAGGCAGTCAGGGAACCAATCCGTGAGATTCCTTATGACTAGTGACCTGATCTGTGCTGGGTGTTCAGTTTGATGTTCCTGTTTGTTGAGTAGTGAGGATGACTAAGATTTACGATAGATTGGTCAGGGGGGAGGTGGTTCATCTTTATGATGAACCCGGATTTTTCGTCCTTGCTTTCTCAGTCATGGAAATGCACACCAGAATCGGTGAGCATTCCATCGTTGAGCGTTCCATTAACAGACCACCGAGAAACGCAGAGGAATACCAGGCGTTAGTCGAAGATTCAGCAATGGCAGGGCATGCTCTAGACACTGGGCATAGGATAGACTTAGAAAACGTGGACACCCTGAGGCGAGGTTTAAGATTCCCACCACAGCGACTGGTGGCCGAAGCGGTGGAAATTGCCAAGCATCTCAATGTGAATAGAATAGAGGGGGTAGAACTTGCAAACGTGTGGAGAGCGGTCTTAGATCAGCCGAGATGACA